CTGGTGAGAGGTCCCTTCCTGGCTTGTAGACAGCTGCCTTCTTGCTATGTGCTCACATGGTCCATGTGCCAGCTTATGGAGAGAGATGTCTCTGTCTTCCTCTTTTTATAAGGCCACCAATCCCATTATGAGGACCCCACCATCAAGAACTAATGTAAATCTAATTACCTGCCAGAGGCCCACCTCCAAACGCCATCACATTGGAGATTAGGGATTCGATATATGAATTTTGGTGGTGGGGAGCACAAACATTCAGCCTATGACATTCCATCCTGGCTCCCCCAAAATTCATGACCTTCTTGCACACAAAATACATTCATTTCATTCCAACAGCCCCAATAGTCTTAACTTATCCAAGTGTCAATTCTAAAGTCCAAAGTATCATCTAAATATCATGTCATCAGATAGAGGTTAAAGATACAATCCATTTTGTGGCAAAATTCCTCCCCAGCTGTGAGGCTGTAAAATCAGACAAGTTGCGAACTTCCCAAATACAATGGTGGAACAGGCATAGGATAGACATTCCCATTCCACAAGGAAAAGATTAGAGGAAAGGGGTAACAGGAGCTGCCAGGTGGGGGGTCGGTAACAAATAAATGAAGTTCCTCGAGGTCAGGGGAAAAAGAAACAAAGCCCAGGAGAGCCCATGCCCATTCTAAAGTGTGTGTAAAGGCCGGGCAGGTGCGGTGGCTCATGCCTGTAACCCTAGCACTTTGGGAGGCCAAGGGGGGAGGATCACTTGAGGCCCTGTCTCTGCAAAATAATTTAGCCTGGCATGGTGGCCAGAGCCTCTAGTTCCAGCTATGCGAGAGGTTCGAGGTTGCGGTGAGCTATTATCGTGCCACTGCACTGCACTCTAGCCTGGGCGACACAGTGAGACCCTGTCTTTTAAAAATAAATTAATTAAAGTATGTGTACAAGTTGGGAGGGGTGAGGGTGGAGACTGATGCAGCAGCTGCTCGGCTTCAATCATCTTTAGGGAAACTAAGTCCAGTGCAGCCAGATTGCTGAGCTTTGCTCTTCTTTGTTTGTTTTGAGAGGCCAGAAACCTAAATTGTTATCCCAATCTTCAATTTTGGTCTCCAGTTTTTTTTTTTTTTTTTTTGAGACAGAGTCTTACTCCATTGCCCTGAGTAGAGTGCCATGGTGTCGGCCTAGCTCACTGCAACCTCACACTCCTGGGCTCAAGCGATCCTCCTGCCTCAGCCTCCCAAGTAGCTGGGACTATAGGCTCGCACCACCACGCCCGGCTAGTTTTTCTGTTTTTAGTAGAGATGGGGTCTCACTCTTGCTCAGGCTGGTCTCAAATTCCTGAGCTGAAGCGATCTTCCTGCCTCGGCCTTCCAGAGTGCTAGGATTACAGCTATGAGCCACGGCGCCCAGCTTGGTATCCAACTTTAAAACGAAAAAATGAGGAAAAAAAAAAATTACAACAAACCTTGATGGCAACAGTATACATCCCTTCAGTCTACCAGCTTTCAGCTTCTGGGCTGATGCTGTCCAACAGAACTTTCTGTGATGATGAAAATATTGTATATTGTCTCTGTTCGACATGGTAGCCAGCTAACACATGACATGTGGCTCGTGTGACCGAGGAACTGAATTTTTAAAATTTAGTTTAATTTGAATAGCCTCATATCGAATAGCCAACCTAGTGGCTACCATATTGGGCAATGTGAACAGAGTGAAGTTATTTATTGATTTCTAAAATTTGAAAACTGTTAGAATGAAAAGAGGAGAAACATCAGAGTATACTCTTCACAAATGCTGCAGAACCTCTCTGTGCCTAGAGAACAACTCCATGTTCCCTGGTAACCATATTCACCAACCCACCTTCCCTTTCTAGCAAGATTTTCTAACTCACCCCATGCTCTTCAGCTACCCAGACATGTCTCCTTCTTCTGTAAGCCCGGCTCTTGCCCACCCCAGTGCTTTTGCTAAAGCCATCCTCACTAATTTCACAAATACTTATTGAACACATATTCCAGGAATTGTGCTGGATACTAGGAATACATATTTCCTACTCTCTAGTAGTCTTGTGAGGGACACACCAAGGGAACAACTAAACTATGGTATTTTAAGTGTCATCCTGAGGGATACACAGGAAGGGCCTTCTCCCCAAGAAGGGAGGAGGAGTTTCTGAGTGAGTCCTGGGTGATCTGGAAGGGCCAGCCAGGAACCAAGGGTTGGAAAGACCATCAAGCAATACAAGGGACAGTGGCGCAGACAGTAGAGACTTGTGGTGAGTTTAGACAACTGTAAAGGAGTCAGCATGGTTGTCACATGGGAGGTGAGGGGGCGTGGCTAAAGAATCAAGCAAGTTCCAGGTAGTAATAATAATAACAATAACTGAGTAATGATTCCCAGCCAGGCTCTGAGCACTTTATCTGTAGTAAATAAACTAATAGTTATTAATCTTTACCATTTTGAAGATGGGGACATTGAGACACAGAAGGTTTTAAAAAAGTATCCTACGCCAGGTGCGGTGGGGGGCGCCTGTAGTTCCAGCTAGTGGGGAGGCAAAGCCGGGTGCGTGGATGGATCGCGTGAGGCCAGGACTTCCAGGCTGTAGTGCGCAATCATTGCGCCTGTCAATAGCCACTGCACCCCAGCCTGGGCAACGTGGCGAGACCCCGTACCTAAAACAAAACAACGACAAAAATCTAGCCCTAATTACACAGCTGATAAGTAGCAAAGCACATGTCCCTTCAGATCCCTGGCAACCTGGTTCCAGAGCTCACATGCTTAACAGTACCACTCTATTGCTTGACTTTGGAGGCCAGCTAAGTATTCGAGATTTAATCCCGAAGATGATGGGCTACTAGTTTTATTAAGCTCGTTCCCACGGGTCAAGGGGACGAGCACAGGCACCACCTTGCGGGTGTTCGGAATGGCAGGACAGTCCTTGCTTCCCAGGTGTTGATCACTGGACCCCGATCTCCTGGCCGCTCAATGATCAAGAGGAGACCTGTTCGCCTCTATGGCCGGCTGACCTCGTGGCGCAACGGTAGCGCGTCTGACTCCAGATCAGAAGGTTGCGTGTTCAAATCACGTCGGGGTCACTTTTCTCCGAAGGCTTTTATTTAATTACCCTTATTTTCAACTGTGCTCCAGCCCCGGCGTTCAGGTCAGAGAAAAAGCGGTATTTGTTAGAAGCCGGAAGGAAAGGTCTTCTGGCTCTAAGTCCCGAGGCCGTCCCGTCGGAGGATCCCAACACTCTCCCGGGGGTTTTTGCGGTGGATCCGGGTACAGTAATTCTGGGCGGACAGCCGGGCTCCTGGAGACAGGCGCTGCTCGGGGCCGCTCAGCCCAGAGGGAGGAGGATCGGGTAATCGCGCAGGCAAGGAGGTCGCTTGGTCTCCGGCTTCGTGGTGCTGGGCAGGTTCCTACCTAAATGCTCTCCCTTCGCGACAGAAGCCGTCCCTACAGTAAGGAGTCAGAGTTCAGGCCCCAGAGAACAAAACGTGAGGCGCTTTTCGGCAGACGAGGTGGCCGAGTGGTTAAGGCGATGGACTGCTAATCCATTGTGCTCTGCACGCGTGGGTTCGAATCCCATCCTCGTCGGCTTGCGGTTGCTGCGGCCTGTGCTACAGTTTTGTAGTGTCAAAACTAGTATACTCTTGTTTCTCTCAGTCTGCCCCAGCCCCATTCAGCTTCCGTGTCTCCCTAGCACTCTTTCTCTTCCCTAGCGATGTCCTTTCTCCTGTTACATTTTCTAGTACGGCCTCAAATCAGAGAGGGCATCTTTACAGTCACCTATCATGGAGCTGATTTGGCCAGAGAAATACGATACGAAGTTGTTTAAAAAGGGCGCCGTGGCTTAGTTGGTTAAAGCGCCTGTCTAGTAAACAGGAGATCCTGGGTTCGAATCCCAGCGGTGCCTTTGTCCTTTCCCAGCTTTTGCATAGACTCCGCAAGCAGAGTCACAGGGTTTTGCAGCATCGGGCCTACACAATTTCCCACGTATCCGCCTATCCTCTCTCACCGAATCCGCTGTGTGCCCTCAGGCATCTTGCGTTTCTGGTCGCATGGGCGTCATGAACATTTTGTACTTCGTGCACGTCATATTTGCGCCTCAACCTGCAACCAAGTGCCAAAGTCCCATCATCTGTGCTTGCCAGTATCGCGGCCTGGCTGTCACTTGCCTAAATGCTCCGTGAGTCAGTTTTCGTATTCTACTTTCATGTCTTCTAGAGCAGTCTTACCATTTAAGGTTTCTCTCGAGATAGGGTTGAGCAGTATATGTGCACTTACATGATCTCATATCGAGCCAGCATCTTCAGCTGGCCGGTTAGCTCAGTTGGTTAGAGCGTGGTGCTAATAACGCCAAGGTCGCGGGTTCGATCCCCGTACGGGCCAGAAGTTAATCATTTTAGAGAACTAAGGTTTCTAATTAATTTTAGAGACAAAAAATGTAACCGGGGAAAGCTTCTGAAGCAATATTTCCGATCCCGGAATATTTCGCGCCCGTAAGAGAAACGTATTGGAGTTCAGTCTAAGTGTCTTGAGGAGGACGGCTTTAGAGAAACCAGAATTCTTTCTAAATCTTACAACCATAACACGTAGCTCCTGAACTTACTACATGATTTGTAAACAGAAGGTGCTAGGGGTTAGGACAAGCTTTTCTTAAACTATTACATGTGGCACTGATCAGCAGAGTGTGAGAAATGGTCAGGAATGGAGGTGACAATTGTTCCCAGGCTTCCTCCACAGCCAAGTCCAATCCACCCAGCCCCTGCCCCGTCCTTCAGGACCTGAGAAGACAACTCCTTCCCTTCCTCTTCTAGAACACCGGGCTTGCGTTTCTGCTTTCACTGGGTTTCTGGGCCCCTGTAAGTGATTATCTGTGTCACATTTCCTCTCAAATCCACTGCCTAAGAGCAGGAACCATATCCTTCCCCATCAACCCTGGGACCCCCACCCCACTCCCAGCAGGGGCCACAAGACCCACCCTCATTCCCATTCCTTTGGCTCATCAATCACTGCAGCCCATAGAGACACAGCCTCAGCCTTAGCAGCAGCAGCACTTTAATTCCACAAAAACTCAGAAAGCCAAAACTGATTAGAACACTCCACAACAGGTGGGCTTCAAAACCAGCAACAATTCTACCTGAACCCTGAGAGTACTGAGATACCTCCCACCTCACCCCCTCCACCATGCAATGCATTCCTTCCAGCTCCACCCCGCTTCTGGCTGGGAAAGTGGTATGGTAGAGGCCAGAGGGCAGAAGCAGGAAGTTATCCATCTCTAGGTGTCCATCCTTGCCTGCATGGTATTTGGCCAAGGACTACTCAAGCGTCCCCAGCCCCTGGCACCTGAGATGTGGCCTTTGGAGTCAGGAAGGCCACAGTGGGGGCTGGAGCCTTCTTTGTTCCCTTCTCTTGATCACATATGGGAGTCATGTCCTCACCTTCAAGCCAAGGCCTAAAGCCCTGTTCCCTGGGATGGTGTTCTAGTTAGAGAGGATAGTTGGAAAGAACAGGTTAGCTGCAGATGGCCAACTGAATAGAAGCAGAGCAACATCCCTTCCCACCAGGACAGCCCTTAGAACTTCCCCATATTCACCGGCCTAAGGCCCAGAGAGGGCACGGGCCAGCTCAACGCATCTGGAAGAGCCTCCAGCACATAGGCCTCCCTCAGCCAGCAGTTCCCACCAGGGCTCCTTGAAGAATCCTTAGGATCCTACTGGACCCTGCCCTCCCTGGCCAGCCCGGCATCTCCTGGCCCCCTAGTCACTTGCACAGGGCCTCCAACACCTCCAGGGTGCGTCGGATATCCCGGACTTGGCGCGCCAGCCCCTGAACCGGCTGCAGAGCCCGCTCCAGCTCCTCGCAGCGCGCCAGGAGGGTGTACATGCCCTTGATGCTCATGTCCACGGCTTCTCCTAAGGAGTCCACGGCGTCGCGGTAGGTCTGAATGCAGCCCACGCTCAGCGCGGTCAGCTCCTGCACCGCGCCACCCAACCCGCGAAGCAGACGGTCCACCCGGCCGCCCAGCTCCCGACTCAGCCGCTCCAGGTCCCGCAGCACGTCGGGGTCGATGGGCGGGATGACTGGTGTGGGTGTGGCTGCAGGCGCTGGGCAGGGCCGCGTAGGGGCAGGGGGCAGGGGGGGAGGGACGCCACTCAGACGAATCTTGAGTTGTAGGTTGTTGGCGACAAAGTGGGTGAGGTCGCCGTGGCGGCTCACCGTACCCTCCAGCTCCAGGGGGCTGGAGATGGTGGCCCGTCGTCCGCCGCCGGTTCCGGACTCCGCACTCCCTGCGGACCCGGCGCCACCACACGCCCCGCTCAGCCCGTCCAGGCTGCGGCTGTCCTGAAGGCGACTAGAGAACGAGCGGCCAGCCCTGCCCGCCGCCGCCGCCTCCTCGTCGTTGTCTTCCTCTTCCTGCTGCTGCTCAACATTCATCCCGTCGCTTCCCGGGCTCCCTCGACGGCAGACCCTCTCGGACGCAGGCTCGTCCTCGGGCGGCTCAGGGTCCTTGTGCCTGGAGGACAGGGGCGGGTCGTGCTCGGCACCTGGTGCCCCCCGGCGGCTCCCGGCCCCAGACAGCGTCCCTTGGGGCCCAGACTCGTCCTCCCAAGCCTCCTGGGCCGGCCGGTGGACAACGCTGCAGCTCGAAGTCTTCGGGGACGCCCTGGGGTGGTGGCTCGCGCCCCCAACGTTCTCGGCCTCTTCCTTCCCGGACACTCGGAGGCCTGAGGGCGGCTCAGAGGGCGTTCGGCCTGGCCCGCCGCCGAAGATCGCGGCCTGCTGTTCCGCTGGAGCCAGAAGGTCGGCCGCGGGCCCGGGCCGCCCCCGAGGCGACTCCATACTGCAGGTGGGGGCCGGAACCGAGGAATTGGTTCGCCGGGCGCTTCAGAGGCGGTGGCGGCGCCTTTAAGGGGCGTTGGTAGAGACCCGCCGATTGGCAGCAGGCTGACAATGTTAAGGACAGGAAGAACACTTTGATTGGTCGCGGCGACCAGGAAGTCCCGGAAGAAGAGCTGTTATTGAACAGCCGAACACACGTGACAGCCAGCCGGGTGGAGAGAAGGCGGTGACAGCTCAGCTCGTTGCCCCGCCCTTTCAGAAAGCTGAGGGGGAAGATCTTAAAGTCGGAGGTCCCGAAATACCGGAGTCCCGCGGGGGCGGGGCTCAGACTTTTTCCACCCATCAGAGTCCCGCCCATAGTTGTTGCTTAGCGAACGCCACAAATGGGAACAAGACTTGGGGTTCCTAGGAAGGTTCTTGGGATGGAAATAGTATATCCTGCTCTGACCATCGGGTTGAGTCGCTCCTAGTTAACTAAGGATGAAATCAGAATTCTCAGCATGAGCGTGAATGGTTCGTTCCTTCTTGCTGGGTTGACAGACCTAGCCGTTGAACTGCCCACAGCGACTCATTGTGGTCAGCGCAGCGGGCCTATGGCCTTAACTGTGCTTTTGCCACTCTGTTCTCTGTCTCCTGCCCCCTCCACGTTGAGAGTCCCACCCCTTGGAGGATGGTGTGTGATTTTGCCATGAGATAAAATATTGAACAAATGAAACAATCACAAATTTTGATATGCACTATGTAGGAAATAAAGTGTTATGACTGAGAGTAACTGAGCAGCACTAGTTTAGTTAAGGGGTCAGAAAAGGCCTCTTTGATGAAAAGACTTTTAACTGAAAAGAACCAGAAAGAGCCAGACATCTTCCAGGCAGAGGGAAGAACAACTTGGGCTAAGTCTCAGAGACAAAGAAGGCTTGATATATTCAAGGAACTGGGATGGAAGGCTGGAGACATTGAGGTGAAAACAAAATGAGTAAGGGGAAGGACTTCAAGGGGCTGAAGAAGCAGGCAGGGGCCACATCACCTGGGCCTTGTAGTTCCTGTTAGAAATGGAGATTTCTTCTAAGTGCAATGGTGCAGCAGACACTGGAAAGGTTGTAAATTGCAACATATTAGCCAAAGCTCTGAAACATTGGTATTTAATAAAAACGGTTAACTAACTTTTCTTAGCTGATAAAAGATACGTTTGTTCTTATTTGGATAGAGAGATGACCTGAGGCAGGGTCATGCCAGCATTCAGAAGTGCAACTACCCAGAACCTTCCAGCACCACCACCCTCTAGGTCCCTGCCAGGGTCCCATCCACTCAATCCTGATGATAGTAACTCACTCTTTCACCAGGCCTGAGGAGTCCACAGTTGCCAGCTATCTTTATTTTATAGTCCCCTGCAGCTTGATAAAAACCCTAGTCATTCCTCTGCTTTAAAAAAAAAAAGCTCATATATATCTGGGCAGGGTAGATATTCCTTAGAACTGTGGTCTCCAACCCCAGGCCACAGGAAGTGAACGGTAGGCCAGCAAGAAAAGCTTCATCTGTATTTATAGCTGCTCCCCATCACTGGCATCACCGCCTGAGTTCCGCCTCCTGTCAGATCAGTGGTGGCATTAGTTGGAGGAAAACAAGCTCAGGGCTCCCACTTATTCTGCATTATGGTGAGTTGTTTAATTATTTCATTATATATTACAATTTAATAATAATAGAAATAAAGTGCACGATAAATATAATGTTCATGAATCATCCTGAAACCATCCCCCTACCCCGTCCATGGAAAAATTGTCTTCCATGAAACGAGTACCTGGTGCCAAAAACGTTGGGGACCACTGCCATAGAAGATGGGAGAACCTCCCTTGAGAATGGGAAGCTGAGCACAGGAAAGCAGTGGTATGATGGGATCATATGTGGGGATTACTGGCTATTGTGGAAAATGTTTGCAGGGGGACACAAAGGGACAAGTAGACAAGTGGGGAGGCAGTTCCAAGTACAAGGTAATGGTAGCTCAGACTATCATGATGGCAACAGAATTGGGCATGTAGACATTCTAGATGCATCTTGAAAGTTGGACAAAGTTGGACATCTTGAAAGAAAGGACAAAGGTTGGGCTACCAATGTCTCTTTGTTTATGTTGTTTTCTATCTTATGTATTTTGTAGGCCACTTTAAATTCTTTCTAGAATAAGACAGGGTATAAATAGCATTTTAAAATATGGTTTTTAGGAAGTAAAAATTTCTATGTACTTTACTGCACTTGAGAACTGTTGCTCCATGAATTAATATAGATGTGTTTGCAGACAGGATTTGTCTTAGGAGTTTTATAGAGCTTTGCCCTGAAGGAATATGTGAACGTGTTGGTTTGCATTTCAAATGCTGTTACACTCGGAAGGGTGTCTCTGAAAGACAGTAGCGGCTGTATCCCACAAGGCGCCACATTTCTCAGACCTAAAGGTTTGGATTTGCTTTGTAAAGCAAAGCCAATCTGTTAAAAACTACAGGATGAGAGCTGACAATGGAGTGCCCCTGGAACAGACAGCTGCCCAAATGGCTAAAAGCAAAGCTCTTGTTTAAACACTCTACACTACCTGTCTCCATTCACAATAACCTAATAAATATGGAGCCAATATATCTCTGTTTAACCCCTCTGTTAAGTGATAAACTTACCTTACAACTTAGAAGTTAATCTTTGAAATATTTTGTAACCATTTATTCACGTAGATAGAATTAGTTAAAGGATCTGTAGAAGCCTTTTGAAAATCTGTTAACCTGAGAGGAACTACCTGTTGTTATGTAAATCTGTTACCCCTGGCAATTAATCATTATTCCCTATAAGTTACCATGTTAAGACCTCATTCGGGGCTTTTTGAGACCCACGGAGGTCTAGGCCCCCTGAGATCCTGCTTTGCCTATAATCTTCATAAACTTATAAAACTATATCTTTGTCTCTGTGTATTCTTTTATTTCTTTTATTTTCCATTTTTCTCTATTATTTTCTTATCCCCTGCAACTCTACCAAAGGGACCCGGTTTTTTGCGGGGAACGTTGGCCACGTTCCCGGCAAGAACAGCCCACGTGTTAGGTAAGAAAGGATTGTTATTCCAATTTTTATTTATTTATTTATTTATTTATTTTTGAGACAGTCTTGCTCTGTTGCCTGGGCTAGAGTGCCATGGCATCAGCCTAGCTCATAGCAACCTCAAACTCCTGGGCTCAAGCGATCCTCTTGCCTCAGCCTCCCAAGTAACTGGGACTACGGGCATGCACCACCATGCCTGGCTAATTTTTTCTATATATTTTTAGTTGTCCAGCTAATTTCTTTCTATTTTTAGTAGAGATGGGGTCTCACTCTTGCTTAGGCTGGTCTCAAACTCCTGAGCTCAAACGATCCACCCGCCTTGGCCTCCCAGAGTGCTGGGATTACAGGCGTGAGCCACCGTGCCCAGCCTGGTTTGGAATTTTAAAAACACCTTTGAAATATGACCAAAGAGGAAATTGTAATGGTCATTAGAGAATATTGAGACCCGAATAACAAATTGTGCTACATATCGGGCCTGTGTGGTACAACGAAGTGATGCTTTGATGGATGTTTATTGTTTTGTTTTAGACTAAGGGAGAATTGAGAGATGGATTAGTGATCTGCATGTAGGGAATTGAGGAAATGACCCAAGACAATTGACTTCAGGACAGCCAAAAGTTGTACAGGACATGAAAATAACAATGCCACACGGGTCAGGCACATCATAGTCATGATATAAACACTAGACAACTGGACATTGGCCCTCTAGATACGTAAACTCCATGAGCACAAAGGATTTTTTTCTTTTATTCATTGCTTCATCCCCACCTTCTAGAACAGAACCTAGAATGTAGAGGACACTCACTAGCTATTGTCGAACGAATAAATCTGACCAAAATTAAGATGTAACTAGCTCAGAAGGATGTGGGGACAGAAAATATACATGTGTATGGTGGCAGTGGGGTAGAAGACTGGAATCTTTAAATTTTATAGCAGGAAAACAATAGGTAATGCCTAAAACTGAAAACTTAAGCATGTTGAGTAAGAAATATATGGTAAATACCCAAAGCAAAACAAAACAGTGAAAAGACTTGGAACTTGCTTTTTAAAAAAGCAGCCTTGGAACATCATTCAATTGTTTTAATCTGTGGGCATGTATAGTGGATTGCATGGTGGCCCCCAAAGAGATGTGTCTACGTCCTAACTCTAGGAACCTATGAATTTGGCATTTTTTGGGAAAAAGGGTTTTTGTCAATGTAATAAAACTTCTTGAGATGAGATCATCTTGGATTACCCGGGCAGGCCCTAAGTCAAATGACTAGCGTTCTTATAAGACATAGAGCAGAGACAGCGTGAGAGGAGGGCCAGGCCATGTGAAAACAAAAGCAGAGATTGGAGTTATGGAGCCATAAGCCAAGAAATGCCTGGTGCCACCTAACAATGGAAGAGGCAAGGCGGGATTCTCCCCTAGAGCCTTGACTTTAGACCTCTGGCCTCCAGGACTGGGAGAGAAGAAGTTCCTGTTGTTTTAATCCACTAAGTGTGTGGATTAATAATTTGTTATGGCAGCCCTAGGAATCTAATACAGCATGCACAACTGGAATAAAATAAAAATAAGAAAATGTATTGATGTATTTAACCACATTGATTAAAAAGGCAAATAATCGATAGATGCAGGAAAAGCATTTGATGAAAGTCAATGCCCATTCATGATACAAAACAAAAACCTTTTTTAAAGACCCTTAACAAGCAAGGACTAGAATAGGCCTTCCTCAATCTGATAAAGGACACCTACCAAAAACCTACAACAAGCATCATACCTAACAGTGAAAGTTTTGTCAGAACAAGGCACGATCACTATTGCTTCTATTTGCTCCTGTACTAGGTCCTGAACAGAGCAGTGAAACAAACAAACAAGAAAGACAATTTCTAGGGTGCAGCAATGTCCAGTTGCTCTTAGGTGGGCAAAGGGGCAGGGAATGAACCAGGAAATAAAACACTAGAGTCAATCGAGAGTGGGACATGAGAAGTGGCCAGAGATGGCAGAGATGGCTGGTGTTCAAGCATAGAGTGGGGAGCTGAGGGCCCCCAGCACCCCCAGGCTCTGGGAGTCAGAGCAGGGGAAAGAGACAGTGGGGTGGGGATGGCTGGGAGCTGACCATCAGGTGTCAGAGCTGAGAGGGTCGGGTGTGAGCAGAGGAGGGTAGTGATGTGGTGCTCATTCCTGCCACCCAGAGTGGACAACCTCTCCTTCCCCTAGGGACAGCTTCCTCCACAGCAAAGCTTCCACCTAGAAACATCTACACTCATTGGTATAAAAAGCTTCAGCCTTTATTAAACAAAAAGGAGGTAGAAGACAGATAAGGAACAGGCTGGGACCCCTCCTTCCCCCTACACATACACAGACCTACAAATGCAGACATAACCAAGTGAAAGGCAGGGACCATCAGGGGACAGACTGAAGGGCAGAGGGAGGCAGCACCCTCCGAGAGTGGGCCCGGACCCAAGGGTGGGCTGAGACCTGGGCCAGGGGCAGCCGTTCTGAGGGGTTATGCCTGAGCAGCTTGGAGATGAGGTCCCGAGCTCCCTCGGGCACAGAAGGGGGGAACTTCAGGTCTACCTGCAGGTGTGGAAAAGGAAGGACCATGTTAGTTTCACCCTGGCTACATTTTCCTTGACTACCCATTCTATTCGGAGTTAGGCAGGGCTGGAGGAATATGCTGCGCCCACCCCTAGGCCCTGCCTCTGCTGCCGGCACAAAGCCCTAGGCAGCTCCCACCTTGACGATACGCCGGTAGGTCTCGTTGTGTGACGCACTTTCGAAGGGTGGGTTCCCCACCAGCAGCTCGTAGCAGAGTACTCCGATGCACCACAGATCCACCTTCTCGTTGTGCGTGCGCCCCTCAATCATCTCTGGGGGCAGGTAGTCCAGTGTACCACACATTGTCTTCCTCCTGGGTGGGACGAGGAGAGTGGGCAGGGGTCCCAGGGACAGCCAGCCTCTCCTTTCCCTGCTGCTTGACGGCAGGGAGCCAAGAGACCGCAGGATACACTAGGGGAGTGTTCCAGCCAGGCAGGGCCACTGGGAAGGGGTGGGTGATATTTACCAAAGGCCCAGAGGTGGGTCTACACGCTGCCCTAGTATTGACACACTGAGGAATATATTTTAATAAAATAACCAGATAGGAAGGCAACGTTCATCTTGGAATTAAAGGAAAAACTGGGGACAAGTCTATCACCTATCAAGCATGTTCTGCTTAAATAAATCAGGTTTCATCTCTACTATGTAATACTATGAAGCCATGAAAAATGATGTGGGAGTATTCTCAGTGATATAGCAGAGAGTCCTAATATATTGACTGGAAAATTTGGGTGACAGAACTCTCTCCTATTTTTTTTTTTTTTTTTGAGACAGTCTGACTCTGTTGTCTGAGTGAGTGCCATGGCGTCAGCCTAGCTCACAGCAACCACCAACTCCTGGGCTAAAGAGATTTTCCTGCCTCAGCCTTCCAAGTTGCTGGGACTACAGGCACACGCCACCATGCCCGGCTAATTTTTTGCTATTTATAGTAGAGACTGGGTATCGCTCTTGCTCAGACTTGCTCCAACTCCTGAGCTCAAGCGATCCTCCCGCCTTGGTCTCCCAGAGTGCTAGGATTACAGGTGGGAGCCACGCACCCAGCCTCTCTCCTATTTTTATAAAGATACTGCTGTGTCTATATTTGTGTGAGGATAACCCTCAATGTCATTGGGTAACAAGGTTTGGAGGGGTTTTATTTAGAATGTCCTAGCCTCACACCCAGGGCTG